TGGCTGGCCGGCGGCCAGCGTCCGACAGCGAGGCTGAAGCAGGGCGACGGCCATCGCTCCTCACCTTGGAAGCACAAAAATAAAAAGCATTTCCTGCTGTGCAGGTCCGACAGACTTTGCCCCAGGTCACTGTACATTCCTCAAGCCCATTGAATTTCTCTAAAAACCATTTACTACCCCTCTAAAATCATCCACATTCTCCCATCTTCCTTTCCCCTAAGAAGAAGGGTGTATAACTGTCTGTGCGCCTTATTGTGTCAGGTCGGGGGTAACCACTCTGCGATTTTCTCTCCATGCACGCTAATTAATTTTTATGCCATTTTCTCCTATTAACCTGCCTTTTTTGAGTTGATTTTTTCAGCAAAACTTCAGAGGGCAAAGCAGAAGTTTTCCTTTGGACCCCTGCACTCGGCCAATAAAATTTGACAGAAGTCTGAGCTTTCTCGTGCCAGGTCATGAAAAAACTTCTACCTATGCTCCCGGAATGCTGGCCCTTCAGATGCCCCCTCACAGAAGCCAGCCTCTGAGTCATGGGAAGCCCAGGCCAGATTGAGGAGCCACAAGTGGACCCTTCAGTCCGCCAAGAAGAACTACCGCTCACACGGGCGACCGTGTTGAACATCAGCACAGTTCCAGCTCCCGCTGGTTCTATGTGGTCTGCGGGAAAATGAAGGAACAGAGGAATTCTCAGCAGATGCAGGGCAGGAAACCTTCTTCTATGTTCAGTCCCACCTTGGCAGAAATCTACAATATACTGGAAAGGACAGATGTTGCATTCCACTAAAAGTGGGAGTGAAACCCACTTTATTTGTTTTCTATTTAATTTTATTATTATTATTATTATTTTGAGACAGAGTCTCGCTCTGTCACCCAGGCTGGAGTGCTGTGGCACAATCTTGGCTCACTGCAAACTCCACCTCTCGGGTTCAAGCAATTCTCCTGCCTCAGCCTCCTGAGTATCTGGAATTACAGGCACCTACCACTACCCATGGCTAATTTTTTGTAATTTTAGTAGAGACGGGGTTTCACCATGTTAGCCAGGCTGGTAACTCCTGACCTCAGGTGATCCACCTGCCTTGGCCTCCCCAAGTGCTGGGATTACAGGTGTGAGCCACTGTGCATGGCCAAACCCACTTTAATTAGGTCACTGAAGGTCAAGGTGACCCCAGCAAGTTGCAGAAGACTTGGAGAGAGTCCGAGAGGGTGACGGGTTGGCTGACAGGCTGTGCCTCATGGTGATCTGAGGTCAGTTCAGAGAATCCCCGCTGTGGGTTTTTATGTCTGACTGATGCAGTGCAGTCAGCTGAGGATGGCAGTGAATGTGCAGAACTTATCTTCCTGTCTTTCTGAGGACAAAGTTACTTTAAAAAATCATCCCGCCCAATTCTATCTTCCAGCAATGCTTGACATAGAATAAGGCCTCAATAATTTTTTTTCTTGAGTGAATGAAGGTATTGCCTATGTCTTATAGATGAGGCAGCTGAGGCTAAGTGACTTGGATAAGCCATCTTGCTGGTTCTGTGAGGTCTCCTGATGTAAAAAGTCTCATTAGTTAAGAAAACTATCATCTAAGACTCCCTTGGCCAGTAACTTCCTTTTATGCAAAGAATAAAGGTCAATTTAAAATTAAGCCTAAATGAAATGGAATTCAGATGTTCAGGGTGAAGTCCTAGGGGGAGGCACTGAGGAAATGACAGCTGTCTGGGGGCTGGTGGCAGGGATCGAAGCTCTGCAGCACCAGTGGGTGGCAGGGACCTAAGTTTTGCAGTGCCAGTTGGTGGCAGAGATTTAAGCTTAGAAGCGCAGTCGGTGGCAGGGATCGAAGCTTTGCAGTGCCAGTCGGTGGCAGGAATCTAAGCTTCACAGTGCCAGTCGGTGGCAGGGATCTAAGCTTTGCAGCACAGTTGGTGGCAGGGATCGAAGCTCTGCCACACCAGGCGGTGGCAGGGATTGAAGTTCTGCAGTGCCAGTTGAGGCAGGGATCTAAGCTCTGTGGCACCAGTTGATGGCAGGGATCAAAGCTCTGCAGTGCCAGTCAGTGGCAGGGATCTAAGCTTTGCAGCACCAGGCGGTGGCAGGGATCTAAGCTCTGCAGTGCCAGTCGGTGGCAGAGATCAAAGCTCTGCAGTGCCAGTCAATGGCAGGGATCTAAGCTCTGTGGTGCCAGTCGGTGGCAGGGATCTAAGCTCTGCAGTGCTAGTCAGTGGCAGGGATCTAAGCTCTGCAGTGCCAGTCAGTGGCAGGGATCTAAGCTCTGCAGTGCCAGTCGGTGGCAGGGATCAAAGCTCTGCAGTGCCAGTCGGTGGCAGGGATCTAAGCTCTGTGGTGCCAGTCGGTGGCAGAGATCTAAGTTCTGCAGCGCCCATGGCCCATTGGTTCATCCTGGCCGAGCCTCCAACAAACAGCCCTGTGCAGCTTCTTTGCTTCGAGCATTTGTCGATTTGTCAATTCCTGTTGCCAGTTCCTGTAGTATAAACACTCGTGATTTGATGCTGCCAACCCAAAGTCACCGAATGCAGAGTTGGGAAGAAATGTGCCACCATGGCTCTTGGTAGCTGGTGTGACCAGCTCAGCGGTCTCCAGTTACTGGTGTCCCCACAATTCCCTCTTGTCTTGCTACCAGCACTTGAATTTGCAGCCCTAGAAATGTGAGCACCAAGCAAGGAGAAAATCAACAACCCCAGCTGGCTCCACATCCAGCATTCCGGGTTAGAGAACTGTCTACAAGAGGAAACTGAAACTCCTCATAGAGCTACACTCTGCGTTTCCCGAGGTTGCCTAGTTACTAAGCTGCAGATCTGGGGTTTGAAGGCGGGCTTTCTGGCGGAGGCTTTCTCACTCCAAGGTAATTGCTTGTTTCATTACCTCATGCTGTTTTTATTTTTTCTACCTAGGCTGTGACAATTAATTTATCAGGACACTGAGATTCCAGGGACAATGGCATTTGTACTGATAGTGGAATCGTGGAAAATAGGAAAAACGCTGACAGCAACCCAGGTCCTTTGACGTATTTCTGACTATAAATAAAAACAATTAGATGCAAACAATATTTTTGAAAATATAGAGAAACCACCGGTCTTTTGGATTCCACGATTCATAATCGCCCGCTTCTCTGTGTAGATGATAAAATTTGTGATTCAAAGCTGCCGTTTTTTCTCTCTCTCTCTCTCTCTTTCTCTCTATCTCTGTCTCTCTCTCTCCATGGAATGGAATGAAAATGGAAAGAAGCCAGGTCCATGACAACCTAGACACCTGGGGAGTGAGATGGAGAACGTGGCAGAGATGACCCTTGCCTAGATATTTTTTAGTCCATTTCCCTCTGTGCTCTTGATACCTTTCTCATCCCCAAGGAGCACAAGGAAAAGTAAACAGAGGCTGTATTCATGAATCAGGCCAGTGAACTGGCAAATGAGTCTTGCATATGCAGAGACTCGCTCTTCTCTTTCTGAGCCTGCTGGAAAAACACCTTTACCTTTAATCACACACATACACATGCACACACATGTGCACACACTTATGCATGAACACACATGCATTTGCATATGTACACATGCACACAAGCACATGCAGGCTCATGCATACACACACAATGCACACATGCACGCACACACTGGCATATGCACACACATGTACTCACACAGTGCACACACACGCACACACTTACACTTGCATATGCACACACACACGCACACACACACACATGCACACACATACACACATGTATGGGCAAAAATATAGATAAAGAGGAAAAACTGGAAACCTCAAAAAATCTCTAAATGGACTGATGTTTCTTCTGCTACCAGGTGTTGAATTTTGTTTCTCCTTTTGCTAAAACTTTCTCTAAGCCTAATACTCCTTGGAAACAAAACCCACAATCCACTTTTGAAAACTACTGAAGATCTTTTTCTTTTCTTTGGGATCATAAAATATTCTCGACACTGAACCAGCTGCAAAAGTGAAGGTGAAGTTAATACATGCTTCATATTTGGCCCAAATGTCACTTTCCTATTTACAGCCCTTGAAACTTTTGCAGAATCAACGCTATGGTCTTGGGAAGATAGAGGCTGCATTTCCCAGCACACTTAGGGTAACCATAAGCAGAGTGTGGAAGCATAGGCCAACAACAATTATGGCATTTTGTTTTGTAGAAATGAGACACAGGAAGCATACATATCAGCACATTTACAAAAGTAAACATCGTGGAAGGCAGTTATTATCTCCGGGCTCCAAATCCACCTTTCCATGCTGTTTTGTGACCCTCCAAAATCAGCTTACGTCTGATTTACCAGCTGTTTTCTTGTAGGCTCTTCCAGTAAGGGAAATTAGGAGGCCTCCAGGCTGGAGGAAGAGGAGGCATTTGCTCCTTCATCTCTTCTTCCTGGGCTCCTTGTCTTCTTGCTGTTTCCATGAGCATTAGGGCAGTAATGCTTCACCCCATAGCATCAGGTCCTTTCCTCAGCAGCAACTGGATCCAGTTCACAGTTTCTCCAGCACTTGCAGAATCAGTCTCATTTCACTCTCTCATGGACAATACCATCAGCCAGGCCATGCCACCACCTCGGAGGCCTGGCTTCCACACCCAGATGTGGAGGAGCAGCAACAGCTGAGCAGCAAGCTCTCCTCAGAGGGGGGTCCCAGACCCACAGGGCATCTATAAGCTTCCAGGTTGGGATAATTCCAACCTTCTCTTTGTTCCTTCAGCACCAGGGATGGTGGCTGTTTTATGCATTAGGTTCCAGGGTGTCACCCAGGCCTCTGTTTCCCCTCCTGACCTCGTGATCTGCCCACCTTGGCCTCCCAAAGTGCTGGGATTACAGGCGTGAGCCACCACGCCTGGCCTAGTTAATCATCTTTATGCTAAAATCTCTCTGTACAAATGACTGATGAAGATTCTGTCTCTTGGTTATACTCTGATGAATACAATGGAAACTGCCATTATCAGGTGCAGTCACCACACCTGAAAGATGTCTGTGGGCTTGGGAGAAGGTTGAGAATGACCAGACACAGATCTCCTCCTACTTCTCTTGCCTTCTTGGACATATTGGAGGAGGGCATGCTCTGCCTCCTTACGTGTGGTATGGGCATGTGGTGTGCTCTGGCCAGTGATGTGGGAGTAGAAGTGATGGATGTCACCTCTGATTGGAAACATTTAAGAGTCAGTGCACACTCTTCTTGTCTCCTTCTCCTACCCAGGAGGCCCACGATGTAGGTGCCTCAACATGAAGGCCATCTGGGATGCTGAGCCATCACTGCACGGGGAATGCCTGCCCTGGACAGTCACAACTGCTGTCTTTGCCTGAACAATAGAGGCATGTTGTGGCAGGATGCTGAGATTCTGGTGCTGTTTGTTACCTCAGCATCCCCTAACTGATCCTGACTGACTGAGATGGCAGGCAAGACCTTAGCTGTTTTGATGTCTACTGCATCATCTAGAACAGTGCCTGGCATACAGTACGCACACAAGAGAGAGGTGATGAATGAATGCATAAAAGTGAGAATTCATGTGGAAGAGTTCTAATAGGAGCAATGAAACGGCACCAAATTTCTGAAACCATAACAAGAGAAAAATAAACAGAAAGTTTCTGAAAGCAGTGGTTCGCAGCCCTATCAGATATGAGATCTCCATTGCTTAATGAATGTTTTAAAGCTCCCTTTTTACAACGCTGAAATGGAATTCACAGATAATGTCACGCACATACAAGGTAATTTTACTAAGATTAATATAATGCTCTAACTGGATATCAAATCAAGTAAAAATGCATTTGTAATTTAATGAGACATATTTCAACATGCCATTTGAGCATGACCACATGAGAAAACGTCTCTTCATAGTCATTGTAAATGCTGCAGATTGAATGCAGGTTGACACTTAGTAGCTGCTGAGGACATTTTCCAGTGTGGGGAACAACTCTCTATAAAGTTATAACGAAGACAAAATATTCCCTGATTAACCCTGAGTTTACAGTTGTGAAAAATTCATGGTTCTGATGTTAAACTACAGTGCAGATAACTACAGCTTCCCTTCTAGTTTGATGGGACATTTACAAGTTGTGAATAACACAGGGCAGTTTTTTTTTTTTTGAGATAGAGTCTCACTCTGTCACCCAGGCTGAAATGCAGTGGCACAATCACAGTTCACCAAAGCCTTAACCTCCTGGGCTCAAGCAATCCTCCCACCTCATCCTCTGGGTAGCTGGGACTATGGGTGTGCATCACCACACCCGGCAATTTTTTTTTTTTTTTGTAGAGATGGGGTTTCACCATGTTGCCCAGGCTGGTCTGGAACTTCTGGACTCAAGTGATCCTCCTGCCTCAGCCTCCCAAAGTGCTAGGATTACAGGTGTGAGCCACTGCACCCGACCAGAACACAGGACAACTCTTTGTCACATGAGCCTGTCCTGGACATTGCAGGGCATTTAGTACCCCTGACTTCTGACCATGAAATGCAAGAGTATGCCCTAATCCTTGTGAAAAATAATCAGTCCCGAAAATGTGCCAAACACTTCCATGGCTGTGGGGACAGTTATGTCCCTACTGAGATCTGTGGCTCTAAATAGAATATTCTATCCCTGAGGGTCCCTACATCACACACAGACCTTCCCCCATCTTAGTCCACAGACAGCAGTGAGTCATCACATCGTGGTCACTGCTATTGCCTCACAGTGACCAAAGGGAGGCCACAGAGGAAAGAAGAGGAAGAGAATCCACAGCTTTCAGTGTGGACAGATGAGCAAAGAAGAGTGCATTTTCATTCACCAAGTCCTGGAGGTGCGGCAGGGTGGGATAGCCTGTGTGCCTTAGAGGGAAGAAGATGCTTCTGGAAACGTCACAGACAAAACATATTTCTCTTCCACGTGCATGGGAATGAGTCAGCTTCCTCTGCATGGCTTTCCTGTCTTCATCAACCCTCACCCTGACCTTCTGCCTGTGTGATTGCAATCAGCATAACGCAACAACAGGATGGTCTGTCTACATTCAGGAGGTCATCTACAGCCTCTTCCACACTTGTAATCTCCTAGGTAATAGGAAATGGCCATTGTTGGCCCCTGTACCAGTGGATCCTGTTGGTAGAGGGTGCCCAAGCTTGACCCAGGTCATTGCTCCAAGGTGTCCTTCAGAAAGAAGGAGTGAGGGCTACTTCTTCCAGACTTGGACATCTGTGTGATTGGCAGCCTTCCGCCCAACTCCTGCCATGCACAACCTGCTCAACCATGCACAGTGGTTCTAGAAGATAGTTCTTGACTTGATAACAGTGAATAATGTTGAGTTATCATACCACTGGATCTTTTGCCAAATGCTTCCTGGGCCCTTCATTCTAACACTTTTCTGGAAAGAAACTGTCCTGCATTATGTGTGCTGGGCTTCCCTTCTGGTTTTATGGTCACCCTGGCAGGCTGTGAAGCACAAGGCATTCTGGGACTTCTGCTTAAGACTTACTCCCACTCAATATTTATTGACCAATAGGACCACCGACTCTTTCACTAGAGACCATCTACCAAACTGCTTCAGTTCATCTGCTCCTGCCAAGGCACTCTCTGCGAGTTCCTGAGTAGGAAGGCTTCCTTGGCTTTGCAGATAGATATCTGTGACTTTTTCCGACTTCTAAGGAAAGAAGTCCCCCCAACATCTCAAAGAGGGCAGCAGGTTGTTGGACTACGAGAGCAAGAGCTTGTCTGACTTCCAGTGACCTCACTGGAGTGTTTCTCAGCTCACAGACAAGTGTGGCTGGTGGTGCACACCATGACTTTGAAGGTGGATGAGCATAAGGAATTTTAGTGCGGAGAATCTGAGACAGGCTCTGGAGCTGGATGCATGGGTTAAAAGCCCAACTGTAGCCCTGTGGCTACAGTTGAGCAAGTTGCTTAATCTCTTCTTGCCTTAGTCTCCTCGTTTGTAAAATTGGGATAATAACAGTACTTGCATTTTAGGGTTACTGTGATGTTCAATGACTTAATATGGTTGTAACAGTCTTTATTCATAAGAAGCTGGCATTCATTATGTTATGCATTAGCTATGAACATAGTTCATAGCTAACGCATAAAATGAACATATGTTCATAACTAATGCACATAATGAATGTCAGCTTCTTATGGTTTCATGGCATTACTACTAATGATGAGATAATAATACATCAGTACACGTATTGATAACAATACAGGTGGTCCTCAGATATGGCAGAAATCCTTATGGCTGGAATTCGGGAAATGGAGTTTGAGTAGTATATCCATAGCATGTGCTCAGTGGCTATTAGGCAGAGTTCACCTACTAGCATTTGGCAGCGTTTTTGTGCTTTCCAACTGGTAAGGCAGTTATTTCTTAAGACTAGACTAATTCCTTGTTGCTGCAGAATATTCCCACCTCCCAGCATTTGGCGCTCACGTGCTGTCTCTCCTAAACGAACACCACCCGCACGCTGAGCGTTACTGGCTGCTCCATGTCCGCCGTGTGGTACCTAGAAAACTGCCTGAAAGTTTTATTTTCCTCCTGATTTCGGCAGGTGGGGCCGAGACAAGCTGCTTGCTTGATTTTCTGACCTGGTTTCTTGCTTGCATTCCTGGGTTTGGGGAGATGACTCATATCTCAAAGTCCTGGATAGTAGACGACGTACTTGCAGACGATGTCCCTGGTCCTGTTTAGGTTGTGGCTGTGATGTTCAGCAGAACAGAGATGACTCGGCTCAGGTGAATCATCCCCAGAGGCTGTGGCTGGCTCAGGTGCTAGGGAACATAATGAGCCGCTTGGTTCATTCAGACTCTTCTGTCTCCTCTGCCAATCCTGGGGAAGCACTCCCTGGCTCTTACACGGACATACTCAGATGTATGCAGTATTTCCCAAACTTCAGCAGTGCTCAATCTACATGCAGAATGACTGCCATACACACACATCGTCTTGAGTTTTCAATATTTTGATTACTTTTTTCAAGACTTCATTATGAAAAATGTTAACCATAGAGAAAGATAAATTGTACAGTGCCCACTCATACCCACGGCCTCGCTTCCGTAAGTGACATTCTGCTGTGTTTGCTCTATCGCATATCTGTCCACTTCCCAGCTCTCTATTCATCTTCTTTTGTGATTCATTTCAAAGGAGGTTGCAAACATCTGTTTACCTCTCGATGCTCTAGACTGCATGCTATTAACTAGACTTCAATAATCAATTTCTTGTTTTATGTAAAAAACACAACTTTGTACTATTACCAGAGATGGAAGACGACTATCACCGAGCATAAACACAATTAACTCCTTTTAAATAAGGATAGCAAAAACACAGTAGTGTTAGCAGACACCAATAGGATGTGTTCAGAGCTTCTGAGGGAGGAAGAGACTTCAGGCCTGAATGGCCATGTGAGTTTTTCCTTCTAGATGAAGCTGAGGCATTGCTAGGCTCTGGATCTGGATGTTCTGGGTTAACATTGTTCCAGCTCCTTCACTCTCTGGCTGTGTGACCTTGGACAAGTCACTTAACCTTTCTGTGCCTTGGCTCCCTCTTCTGCGAAATGGGGATGGTGATCATGGGACCAACTTCACTGGGTGGTTGGAAGAGTAAATGAGTTAATACATACAAACTCCTTAGACTTTGCCTGCATGTAGCAAACATCCAATTCATGCAGTCACCCTCTGATATAGTTTGGCTGTGTCCACACCAAATCTCAACTTGAATTGTATTTCCCAGGATTCCTGCATGTTGTGGGAGGAACCCACTGGGAGGTAACTGAATCATGGGGGCTGGTCTGTCTCATCCTAGTCTCGTGATAGTGAATAAATCTCATGAGATCTGATGGGTTTATCGGGGATTTCTGCTTTTGATTCCTCCTCATTTTTTCTCTTGCCACCACCATGTAAGAAGTGCCTTTCGCCTCCCGCCATGATTCCGAGGCCTCCCCAGCCACATAAAACTGTAAGTCCAACTAAACCTCTTTTTGTTCCCAGGTTTGGGTATGTCTTTATCAGCAGCGTGAAAATGGACTAATACACCCTCTCTCTACCAGCGGGTATAGTCTGATGAGGTCTATGCGGCAGCATAGGGTGGCAGCCATGGAAGAATGCTGTTTAAATGTCCCTTCAAGAGGGAGTCGCCAGAAGGAGAATAATTCACCACAGCCTCTGTCCTCAGGGGCCTTCAGAAGGCACCTGGTCAGTGTCCAAGCACAGCCAAGGTGCAGGGTGGCTGCTGGGACTCCATGCGAGGCTCCTCTATAGACAACCTCTGTGGCAGCACTTCCTGCTTGGCTGCCTGAGAATTCCCAGGGCTTCCTGCAGTCAGGCACTTCCTGCCCTGTTTTCCCTCCTTCGCATCCTCCTTTCCCAGGGACCAGACCTGCACTGCATCCTGAAGCTCAGCCTTCCTACTCCTGCTCCATATTTTCTTTATCCTTCACAACTGCAGTCCTCAATTAATCTCTGGTGCATTTAACTCTGTCTGCTTCCTGAAGATGCTCATGGATTCTGAGGATTCCCCACGTGCTGTGATGTGACAGTCAGGGGCAAGGGAGGAAAACAGCCAGCTCCACTACCTGTCTACCCTCCCTCCCAACCATTGAGAAAGTTTCCCATTAGGGGTTCATTCCTTTGGACCATGAAGCTTTTTGATTCCTATTAACCTTGAGTTAATTTTCTGAGTTTTTTGTTTGTAAAATATTACATATATACTAATGAACATCAGATATATAAATGGGTTGTATGAATAATTGTAAAGCAAACTGTGTACCAGCAAGTGAAACCATCATAACACACAGCCCCAGAAGCATCCACAATCCATGAATAATAACCCCCTCCCCATGAGGTGCCTAAGTAAGGAAAGAAGACGGGGAGAGGAGCTGCCAGGGGAAGGACCAAGGAGGTACTCTGTGGCTCAGGCCCCTGGCTCTGCCTGGCCTCTCCTTGTTGGCACAGATCAGCCTGAGGGCCACGCCGCACACCACGGGCCCATGACCCTCCATCAGAGTCACTGGGCGCTGGCTGAACAAGCACCTCAAATGAGCTCTGGATTACAACACAGCTATGAAAAGAAGCTAGCCGGTGCTCTTCCTACCCATATGGAGAGATTTCCAGGGCAGATTTCAAAGTGGAAAAGTCAGAGGCAATACAGGAGGGCCTGTGTGCCCAGCTCCCACTGTGAAAACCAACCCAGCTGATGGGGATTCCTCTCTATTGCTTTCTAGGTTGTCGCTGCCCTCAACCTCCAGATGCAGCCCCCTGCCACCTTCAGGACCCCTGGCTGTCCCTTTGACTCAGTAGCGAAAGGGTTTCTGTGCTCGGAGGGAGTCCTTCAGGAATCTGTGCATAGAATGCCATAGTACAGAGGAAAGTAAGACTACGCAGTCGTATTCTACTTAAGACCTCCATAAGGATACATAGGGAAGCGACAAAACCTGCAGGGAGCAGGGAAGGAAGAGGGATGGGGCTGCAAGCCAGGGGATGCCTGCGGTCACCAGGAGACAGGGGAGGCAGGGAGGATCCTTTCCCAGAGCCTCTGGAAGGAGCGCGGCCCTGCCCATACCTTGATTTGGATTTCTGGCCTCTGGAACCGTGAGAGAACAACTGACTGCTGTGGAAAGTGACTGAAGTTTGTGGCAATTTGTGACAGCAGCTCCAGAAAATGGAACAGCTACTAAGTGAGACTCCTCAGCCAGGCCAGAGAACGTGCATTCTGACGGACAGCTTCTCATTTGCACCGATCACCGTGAGTGCCTGATGGGTGGGCATCTGGCACCCAGAGAAAGAGTTGTTCTATAATCCTTGCACTGCTAGAAATGAGTGCTTCTTACCAAGATGAAATCCACCCATCGTTCACGAATGGCTCAGTTTTGATTTCATCTTCCAAGGTGGGTGATTACTGATCATGAAAACCTCCCTCCCTCTCAGTCTCTCAACAAAAGCCTAGCTTTGCCGGCTGCTTTGAGCTGGAGTGTTCTCTGCTTAATATCTAGCAATGCCAGACAGTAATCTTTACTAGGCTAACAGGAATGCTGTCCAAAATGTGCATTTCAAACACCTCATGACGTATTTGCAGTCTAGTGTTACATATTTAATGTGTTTATCCAGTAAGGGTACCGTCCCGGGTGGCATGGAGGGCTTGACCAGCAGTTGGGGTCCCTGGCACTCTTCATGATGCCCGTGTTTTGCTGCTGGTGGAGGAGGGTGGCAGTGTCAGGGCTAGAAAAAAGTCTGCTGTATCTCTGACATCATTCCTGGCTCCACAGCCTCTTTATCTGGTTTTCTACCCCTCCTGGAGATTCATGGTAGTCAATATCCTTTTAATAAATTGAATAAGTTCAATTTCTGCATAAATCAGCCAGAGTTGCTTTCTATTGCTTGCAAACGAGGATTCTAACAGTGACAAAGACTGGGTATATTAATAAGGGCTGTCTGAATGCATTCTGGGGTGAATGTATGAAAAGTTGGGAAGGACAGGCAGAATCCTCAGGCTTTGAGCCCACGTAGGAACCAGGGTTTACACCTGTGCTGTCCAAGGTGGTAGCTGCTAGTCACATGTGGCTCTATAATTTTAAATAAATTAAAATTAAGTGGCCATGCATGGTGGCTTATGCCTGTAATCCCAGCACTTTGGGAGGCCAAGGTGGATGGATCACCTGAGGTCAGGAGTTTGAGACCAGCCTGACCAACATGGAGAAACCCCGTCTCTACTAAAAATATAAAAAAATTAGCCGGGTGTGGTGGCACATGCCTGTAATTCCACCTACTCAGGAGGCTGAGGCAGGAGAATCGCTTGAACCGTGGAGGCAGAAGTTGTGAGCTGAGATCATGCCATTGCACTCCAGCCTGGGCAACAAGAGCAAAACTCCACCTCAAAAATAAAAAGAAATTAAGTAAGATTAAAGATTTACTTCCTCTGTTGCACCAGCTACACTAGGAGACTAGGAGTGCTCAGAAGTCACAGTGGCTGGGGGCTGACACATTGGTCTGCACAGGTTGAGAACATCCCTGTCATCACAGAAGGTCCTGGTGAACAGCGCTAGCTTAGAGAATAAAAGAAAAAGCTCTCTTCCTTGTGACCCAAGAAAGCCCTGAACCTCTTTTTGCTGTGAGTGTGAAGGGAGAAGCCACCTTGATTCTACTGTGTGAAATATCCCATAGTCCCAAGGTTTTGCAATCTTTGTGCTATTGCTATTGAGGGAAGATGATGTAATGATGTATTAATTGACATGGTTTTCTTTTTTCCTCTGAGCCAAATGCTTTTACTTCTACTCTAAAGGTCTTCTTTCTGAAACCAGCCCAACTTTTCTCCCAGAGAGTATCATGGAACTGAACTTTCAAGATCACGGCATCTGGACATCGAGACAACAGAACCCTCATCCGGCCACCTGCTGCTTGCTGACCAATTCCCATATAAACCGCTAACTTCAGTCAGTTGGAGAGACGGATTTGAGATTTGCCTTCTGTCTCACAGCTGATGTCACCAGCAATAAAGCTTTCTTCCCTGACAATACTCATTGTCTCAGTGATTGGCTTTCTGTCCAGGGAGCAACCGGACTTAGGCTGAACCCCTGGTGTTCAGCAACACTCCCATTTCAAATAGTTAGAGATTCACCCACTCTTTTAATAAAAACCTCCTGAGAACCAGCTATGAACCAGGATTACATCTGGGCTCTGGAGATACAGGAAGAAACAGAATAGAAACAAACATGTCTGCCTTCATGGGGCTTACACACTGGGGAACAAATGACAATCAGTAAAAAGATACATTTAAAAAGTTGTATTAGCAACAGGTGCTAAGGAGAAAAATAAAGCAGTGAGGGGTGCTAAAGTGTTCTAGGGTGGAGAGTTTGTAGCTGTAGACCCGTCGGCCAGTGAAAACCCCACTGAAAAAGTGTCATTTGAGTCAAGACCAGAAAGGAGACAGGAAGAAAGCAAAGTAAGTATTGGGGGCAGAGATAAGAGTCATCTCCTTCTGGCTGGGTGGTCTCTGTAGAAGGAGAGCAATACATGGCTTGGGGCATTCTTGGCTCTGACATTCCACAGACATTGATCTTGACAGAAGACCAAGGGGCCACTCGCAGCAAGAGTTCACAGCATGTAGATGAAATTGGGACTCTGCCAGCTGTGTAGGGGGTGGAGTGGACAGTAAAGGCTTCATCAGGAGGAGACCACCACCCACGCAAGCTCCAGGAAGTGCCTGGAGACCATTCAGTTTCCCTACTGTGAGGGCCAAGGAACTGTCCTTTTCTGGCCTCAGGTGCAGACATCCCTCAGCAACAGCCAGTTCAATACCAGTTGTCCATGCATAGGAGGTACACCTGCCTGATACCTGGGGCTTCACCCAGCATTGCATACACTCTTGGCCAGGGATCCTTGGATGAGAATTATTTGTTCCCTGGTCCCAGGGGACATAAGGCAATGTCTGGGGACATTTCCATTGTTACAAGGGGGAGGGGGATGTTATTGGCATCTAGTTAGTAAGGACAGTGATGCTGCTAAACATTCTATATAATGCACAGGACAGCGCCCACCACAAAGAATTATCCAGCCTCAAATGTCCATGGTGTCAAGTTTGAGAAACAGTTGCAAACTCCTTTCTTTCCTTCCTTCCTTCCTTCCTTCCTTCCTTCCTTCCTTCCTTCCTTCCTTCCTTCCTTCCCTTTCCTCCCTCCCTCCCTCCCTCCTTTCCTTTTTTTCTCATTTCTTCTCTTCTCCCTCCCTCCTTTTATTACTATAACAAAACTTTTAATTTATTTTTATTTAACTTTTTATCGCATACAGCTAAGTGTACAAATCATGAACGTGGATGCAGGTCAACGACATCTCATGAAGCAAACAAACTTACTTCATCCAGACCCACTTCAACAATCAGAACACTGTCATCCTGCCAGACGCCCCTCCCATACCCCTCCAGCCACTACTCTGGCTCTTATCCTCTGAGTAAACTCTAACCTGCTTTCGAATGTCACCACCTCGTTTTCCCTGCTGTTGACTTTTGGAGTCAATGGAATCACACCAGATGTATGTGTTTTCCTAGTTTCCTTTACTTAATGGAATGTTTGTGAGATTGGTTCGCATTGTTGTGTGTGGTTGTATTTTGTTCCTTCTCGTTGCTGGATAGCATTCTATTGTGTGAATATATCACAATTTATTTGTTCGTTTTACTATTTCTGGACATCTGGGTGTTTCCAGCTTCTGGCTATGACTGATAATGCTGCCATGAACCATCCTGTACATATTTTTTGATGAAGACACTTAGGCATTTCTGTAGGGTATATACTTGGCATGGAAAGGGTCACAGAGCTCATATACATCCTCTTTTATTTTCACTCAAGCTGCTTTATTTCTGCAAAAGTGCCCAGAGGCTTCTTTTAAAAACATGAACTTATCACATAACTACCAGTGACATCTCATGTCGCTATCCAGACATGGTCTAAAAACACACCAATTGTTTTCCATCGCTTTAGGATAAGACATCAAATTCTTAGCAGGACCCACAAGCATGATCTGGCTTCTGCTGGGATCTTTGAGCTCAGCCAACATGATTATCTTCCTGGACGACGCAATTCACCTTCTCTAGTTCCCTGAACTTGGAATGATGGGAGAGCGTCTCTATCAAGACCCCAGGATGTGATTAAATCTCTGGGATGGAGGTCGGGTCTGGGGGAACTAGAAGACTGTGGATATGAGAGAGACACTGCTTGTTCAAATGCACGCATCGTGGGACTCAGTGGAATGGACTATAAATCTCTTACTAAAGAGAGCTGGGGTCAGGACATATTCCTGTGTTATTAAATAATGATACTCGGAGTGTATGAAGTGGAAAGTATGTGTCTTGCCATGATGAAGATATATTTTCAGATGCAGAAGAAAAAAGTGGGACAGGGATGGTGAGTCAGGGCTGGGTGGACACTGGGAGCCCCCAGGCACACTGGGCAGTCAGGACAAGTGAGCACTGCTCCCACACCAGTGGAAGCCAGGGCCCAGGATGCCTACGTCACAAGCTCCAGGCAGAGGAGACACATGGGCCTCACCTAGATGAGTGTCTGCCGCTTCCTGGCAGGACTGGCTGGAGAAGTCAATGCAGGGTGCTCTCAGGGGGCATGTGGTGGTGGCCACACCTCCCCTTGGCTGGATACAGCCTTCTTGAGGATATGGAGGGGCCCTCATAAAGGGGACAAAGAGAGCAGTACTGGACACAGGCATTATTCAGAAACCACAGGCACATACTCTTTGGTTTTGGCTGAATTTAGGATAAAAATGCCTCTGCAGGCCATCTGCAGAGAAATTCCCCCTCGCTGCCTCTTTGTAGGCACCCCGTGAGACTCCTGCCTCCAGCCAGGGCCTCCTCCAGAGGAAGACCTTACCCAGAGACGTCTAGGGTTTATCTCCATCTATGGAGCTGAGAAGTTTCGCCTGGGGAGTCCAAGGTGCTCACCTGGCAGGTGAGTGGAAGAGAAACTGGTTAAAGTGGGAAGATCCGACGGAAGGTAGTGAGACCTTATGGCATGGAACATAGAGGGAAACGATACATGGTCACATCTCACTACTATTCTTCTCAGGTAAAGGCAACAGCTGGCCAGTCCTCATCATTTATTAGAGAGAAAGGCACATTAACACTGGAAATCTAAATCTGTATGCCCAGTGGAGAATGATAGTAATAAAAGCAAATGTTTAGAAAGACCCTGGGAAGAGAAAGTAAAGACAAGCCACAGACAGACTGGGAAGTAATAGTTGCAAACACGTATCTGATTAAATAAAAACTAGTATAGAAAACATACGAAGAATTCTTAAAACTCAACAATAAGAAAACCCAATTAAACAGTGGGCAAAGATTTGAACAGACATCTTACCAAAGAATATACACAGATGGCAAATAAGCATAAGGAAGGATGCTCGGTGTTGTATATATCACCAGGGAATTGCAAATTAAAACAACAATGAGATGCCGTGCCATTATATTCCTAGTAGAACAGCTACAATCCAAAATACTGACAACACAAAATGCTGCTGGGGTTATGGAGCAACAGGAACTCTTATTCATTGCTGGTAGGAATGCAAAGTGCACAGCCACTTTGGAAGAGAGTTTGGTAGTTACTTATGAAGTTAAACATATTCTTGACATTCAACCAAGCAATTGTCCTCCTTGGCATTTACCCAAATGAGTTGAAAATTTCTGCAAAAAAAAAAAAATCTATATGTGAATGTTTAGAGCAGCTTTATTCATAATTGCCAAAAATTGGAAGCAACCAAGATATCCTTTAGTAGGTGAATGGATAAATAAACTGTGGTGTGCTATATAATGGAACATTATTAACTGATAAAAGGAAATGAATTGTTAAACCATGAAAAGACATAGAGGAACCTTAAATACATACTACCAAGTGTAAGAAGCCAGTCTGAAATGGCTATATTCTGTATTCTATATTATATTCTGTATATATTCTGCAAGACATTCTGGAAAAGGTAAAACTATAGAAACACTAAACTGATTGCTGGTTACTAGGGGTTCAGGGGGAGGAGTGGGGAGGAAAGAATAGATGGAGAAGAGGAGATTTCTAAGGCAGTGAAACTATTCTGCATTCTATTATAACGGTAAATGCACGTCATTATGTATCAGTCAAGACCCTAGAATTTACAACACAAAGTGAACCCTAATATGAGCTTTGGTAAATACAAAAGTATCAGTTTAGGTCTGCCCCAAAAGCTGACATTTATATAGTATTTACTATGTTCCAGGCACTAATATAAGTGTTTTCCACATATCAGTTTACTTAATTTTCAAGACAACCCAATGAGGAAAGCGTTATTACCATGACTATTTTTTGAGAGGCAACTAAGGCACAGAGACCTTAAGGAAATAGCCCAAGGCCAAAGCTGGGGCCCAGCCTTTCTACAGGGGCTGCACCTTTAGGCATTATATGATCCTGCCCTGGGTATTCTAACTCAAAAAGACCAGTAGGCTCTGAAATGATGATGTGTGATCTCAGACTCTATGGCAGTGAAAGGAAGTATACTTATAACAAAGACTACATGTCTCCTTTTAAGGGTTTTTTCTTTAATTCACAAAGCTTCATCATATTTTACGAATGTTTCGTATTTGCTTTTAAAGTCTGACTACTTCACTGGAGACTTTGTTTTCCATTGGTAATTACTTTTTGTCATAAAAATGGGGAGTTGATATCAACTCATGACTAAAATGAAATTGAACAGGAGGAAGCATGTGCAGTGACACGTTAGACCCTCCTGTCCCGGCTAGAGCTCCCCAGCTCCCAACCTGAAGGTAACTGTCGCTACTGGTATTTTGTGTATCTGCCCAGAGAGAGTCTATGCATATGCCAGTACTTAATCATGTATTCTCTCCTTCTTTTGAAACATAATGGCCACCTTTGTATGTTCTGTGCTTTTCCCCTAAAAATACAGCTTAGAGATATTGCAAAATACTTCTCAATAAGTTTCAGGATTCTAACATTCTGAAGTCAAACATTCAAAACCATACTTTTGACAATG